AGGTTTTGTGCGTGCGTGTGTGTGTGTGTGTGTGTGTTTGTGCGCGCGCGCGCACGTGTGTGGGTTTGTTCTATGCTGTGTGTTTATAACAATAATAATCAAAGAAAAAGAGGCTCGCAACTTGAGGGGAACCGTGGGAGAGGTTGGAGGAGATACATGGGAAGGGCTAGAGAGAGGAGAGGGAGGAGGGAAGCAATGTAATTCTATTTCAAATAAAACATAATAATAATAATAACAATAATAATATAATGGGATATCAACAGAAAAGGGACAAGTGAACAAGATTAGCCTCTAGCTGATGAGTGTTTGAATTTGAGAAAAGCACATGGGGCATGTGATACTTCATGTACTTTTGAACAGTAGAAACTGTCCATAGTACTTTTTAACCTGTAGAAGCACTAGAAATTCACAGAATGGGTCAGGGATGAGGACTCCTCACAGACCTGCCCACCTGCCTTCTCCTTAGCCTTCAGGTTCTCCACACTTGGCCAACAGAGATGCTACCCAGCAACAGGGCACATGGCCTGCACTTCCCTACCATCCTGCCTTCCTGCGGTTCGCTCTAACCCCTTCCCTTCCACACCAGTTCTTATAATTGACCTCCACCTGTAGCAAGGCCCAGAGCAAAAGCATCTTCCGTTCAGCGCACTGGCTGCATGAGACAAGAATTTCATCCTCTTTCACACACCAGAACCTTCCTAGTACTTTTCCAGGGCATGGCTTGCAGCTGCAACCACCGCAGTGACCATAAGGATCACAATTGCACACCTAACCTGTACGACAACAGGCACCGTAAATACACCATTGTGTCATTTTTACAACATCCCCGAGACTTTACAGATGAAGATTGTAAACTCAGAGAGGCCCAAGAGATAATAGCCTGAGTCCACTGTGATGAAATATGCCTTTGGATCTGTGGGGCAAACTTGACTGTCTTATCTGAGAACACATGCACTTAATGGCTACTATGATGGGTATGCCTGGGTCTGTAGAACTGTGCACTCACTAGGCAGGGACAGTATCTTTGTCCTATCCATGGCTCTCTCTGCATGGACAATGCATGAATGCATGGAAGATACTTGTGAGCGGAACGCTGCGCTGACACTGACATTCCTGAAGCTGGAGGATGACGTAGCCACATCTTCTAACCCACCTACCTGCCTCCAGAAGGAAGCGAGGTGGAGCAATCAGCTAAGCGCTGTCCTCTGCATCGTTTCTGCTCGTGAGGCCACAACGCTAAAATAGCTTTCATCTTCTCCCTTCACTGGCATTGTAAGTGGCCAGAAAGAATTCTTTCCCAGGCTATTTTTATTTTGCCTCCCAGCTGTGGGTTCCCTCCCTCTCCTTCTTCACAGCCCTCACCCTTCCAGCCGGAGGTAGCCATAGAGATTCAAGCTCTGGGTGATGATTCCAGAAGCTGAAGTCAGGTCGGATGAGCTTATCTTCCCTGCATTTCCTTCTCTTGTGTCCTTCTCAGGACCTCCTACCGTCACTCGCTTTCTAACCTGTAATCCCAGCTCTGCAGAGACGGGGAATCCCGGAGACTAACCGGCACACACACATACCAAGATGGATACACACGCGCACACACCAAGATGGATACACACGCGCACACACCAAGATGGACACACACACACACCAAGATGGACACACACACACACCCTAAGATGGATATATACACACACACACACACACCAAGATGGACACATACACACACACACACACACCCTAAGATGGATATACACACACACACACACACACACACACACCAAGATGGACACACACACACACACACCCCCTAAGATGGATACACACACACACACACACACACACACACCAAGATGGATACACACACACACACACACCAAGATGGATATACACATACACAAAGATGGATACACATACACAGACACGCGCGCATGCATGCACACACAAATTGGTATGTCATCCTCATTTTTTTTTTTCTCGAAACTTTTCAACAACTTCCTTTCATTTAGGTCTTTCCCATCCTGGGCACAATTTTATGTTCTATTTCTTCAAGATTTTCATCCAGTCTGTTCTTGTGAACTAACAAAAAACTGGCTAATGAGAAAATATGAACTCAAAATCCCTTAAGGATTTTCTACCATAGCTCCTACAGTCCAGCATCTGAATGAGCATTTCATTAGGGAGAGGGGAAACCTTGCAGCCCTTGCAGCCCCCAGCTTATTACTCTGGGGGGAAACTTAATGACCACAAAGGGACTGACAGTGGAGTTGGAATTTGGTCCAAGCGCCGGTCGCCTGGGCCAGCTCTAATCATTCCCCTTTCTTGGTTCTTGAAAGCTATGTTGCTGTTAGCGTTGAGATGACACAAATCACTACACTTTCTTTCACTGAAAGTTGTCTTCTGTGGTCATACTGACTATGTAGCAAAGCCATTTCTTACACACACACACACACACACACACACACACACACACACACACACCCCTGTCTATGAAGAGCTAGGTGGCCACACTAAGACTTACTTATCTAATTATTGGTCTTTATAGCCTTGCATTTTCTAAATTAACTTAAAAGCCATGAGGAAACCACTATGTTACCACCAAAGAAAGAATCTTGGCCACCAAGCTAAACATCTAGTCGTGTGAACAGTACATTAGCGTGAAGGCACCCATCACAGTTTGGGATCTAAATGGAAAAACCGATACCCTACAGGAACGCTCCAGGTGCACGGCAGCCTCTACTATAGCCAATGCTGTCTTTGTTGGTGCCTTCTGATAGCACACACTTATGTATTTCAGGCATTGATTTTGCTTTGCTTTCTTTTGTAAGTTATTCAATATTCCTGCCTCTTCCAAGAAGTGTGGGCTAGAGGAGGGGTACAGAGACATACTGCGATCAATAATACAGAGCCAATGTCCTGTCTACCTGGTCTTGGCTCTTTTCTGTCAGTTCCTGTGGCCCAGAAGACAAGTCTTAAAGCTGTGAGCTTCTGCTCACCTGGGAACTCCAAAGGACCTCTGTGCCCTCGGCACTTTGCTTACTCTCCAAGCCTGCTGCTGCTGGGCCTGCAGCTAGCCATGGAAGAAGATGCCAGAACCACCCTTAAGCTAAAAAGGCACTTTGGAGTAGAGTTTGCAATCCTCCCTGCCAGATTCCTTACAAATCTGCTCCAAACTGTAGTAAGAAATCTCCAAGGAACTCCCATTTCTCTCTGAAGAATGAGCAGTTCTTTTGCAAAGAAGCATTAACTTCTCAGTTCACAATAGCCAAACACATACTTTTCTTGCAGCTGGCAATATGTGTGTGTGTGTGTGTGTGTGTGTGTGTGTGTGTGTGTGTGTGTTTAAATTTCTCCTTAGAGAAATAAACTTATTTGTTTTTTCCTTCTTGTTCTTTTTTAATCTCAGGAAAGTATACTGAACAAAACAAAGCCTTTCTAATGGCAACCACACTGCAATGAAGATTGTCCCAAACCCCTCAAACTCCTGCCAACACAGCACTGCTGTAAGCCAGGCAATCACAAAGCATCTATTTTCTCTAAAGGTATCTGGAGACGATGTTCACAGTCTTTGTCAAAAGAAGTAAGCCACCCCTGCAAGCATTCTGATACCAAAACATCATAAAAGCCCTCCTCCCTCACTCCAGGCGTGGGGTAACCAAGACAGCATTAAAGAACCAAGTGGAAAGGGCTTCCTGCAGCATAGGTCTATAGCAGATCTAGACATTTAAGATCCCTCAAATAAAATATCAGATGAGTTAAATGTTCATGTGAACAGTTGCATTTAGAAGCAGCGAGTCTGACTGTAGGTTGGTTGGTCAAGGGCACTGCACACACAGACTGGGTGGTGCTATTGTGGCTGCCGGCTGCCCTGCATGAAGGAGGTCCTCGCTGTCAACGTACAGCTGCTGCCGCTGCAATGGGGAAGGCCTGTATGTTTCAGTCCTCTCCTGCTCTCTGGCCACTTGGTTCCTAATGAACAGTTGGTGTCAGAGCCAAATCCAAAGGTTGTTACACGCGGGAATTCCTAATGCAGAGACCTGGCAAAGCTCGACTCTATTTGGCCAAAATCCCGAATAGGAATTAAACTACCTCAAAATGTAACAGCCGAGCATCTTCATTTTCTTTCCCTGTTTCCATTTAGTTGGAGCAAATGTTTTTTTGCTTTAATGCGATTGAAAAGAAAAGAACGTTTAGGGGCAACATGCTAGAGCCTTCATAAAGCTCCATTTTCCAAAGCAGTGTCTGAGGCTCTAAATAAATGACAATTCATTCTCTGTTTACTTTAGGTAAACACAAAATGCATTGCCGAGCACTCGTTTTCAAAAGCTAATCAAGAATGTTAGGTCCCAACAGATTTATTTAATAGAAATATAATAGGCATTCCTGCTTGCTTTTCATCTTGTCTCGCTGTAAATGCTAAAATGAACAGCAAATTAACCTTGCGTTGGAACCGAGTTTCATCACAGCTGATGTCCCCTCTCTCTCGACAGTAAACATCCCCCACCCTGTGGCTATTGACTCCTTCTGCAGGGGAGAGACTGCGGAGTTTGGCAAGAGAGGGGAGGAAGACTTGAATCCTAAAGGGAGTGCTGTGTGTCAAATGGACTATCTTTTCTATCAGAAGCAAACCCAGCAACTGCTGTCTGCTACAATAGTGCACATTTAGGGCGTAGGAGGGAGGGAGGGGTGGGGTGGGGTTTTCTCCAAGCTCCATGTATCAAAGTTATATTTTTAACTTTACTAGCCATTCTCCAAGTGACTGCTTAGAAACTACAACACAAACCACGCTAATAAAGACAGGCCCATCCGAGCTCTAAAGTCAGATATAAAAGATTTGCAACAACTTGAGATCTTATAATTAATATGCAGTGATATCAGAATTAGCACTTAGAACTCTATACAGAAAAATATAATATTTCATAAATTATGTAATCATGAACAAACCCTCTCAAAAAACTGTTTCACTGTGCTAAAGTAACATTCTAGACTTGTTGTAAGTATGTCATTCTTACAAGTAGTTCGCAGTTATTCTTGAAGGCAAGCCTTGGAGTTTCCTTAGCATAGTGCTGCTGGGGGAAAGTTTCAGCACGTCCATCTTCATCTCTAGCCTGAAGGGAAATATAATGGCCTATTTAGGGACTTACAAATAATGGAAGAAAAAAAAAGCTAAAAGCATAACAGCTCAGATCATTAAACAAACGGGAATCCAGAAATAACAACATCATTAAGAAGTTTGTTTAAATACGCAGTATGCCTTTTAGATATCAAAATTTGAGTTTTGTTTTTCTTTATACATTGTTTAGTTTGAACATGCAAATCCATGTGGTGTAACAGTTCAAATGATACAAAGCAAACCCAAATCAGCGAGTTTTGTTGGAGATCACTGCTCGTTGAGTGTCAGTGGCACAGCGGCACGGCGCGCTGCACAAGCAGGATCATACGACATACACACGTGTTTAAACTTTTTGGCATGCTTAAGCAATCTCTAGATAATGCACTTTTAAGAAACTCTAATAGCAAGGCCATAAGAAAAGCAATTTGCATAGTTATATTTTGAACTGTAATACTATTAGAAATAAATTGATTCCCCTTGATTTTTAAATAAAGATCCTAAAGGATTGATGATCTCATAAAAACAGTGATTCTTCAATCAAATGCAGTAAAAAAAAAATAGATCTAATTCAGAAGCTGTGTTAAAAGGTCCTGGTTATTTTGATCTACGCTGTCACGTGAAGAAAGCTGCCATTTCAATAGAGGCATTCAGAATATTATCCATCAGTAACATCAGTTGTGGTCCTCATTCTCTCTTCCTAATCGCCATTGGTTTCTGATTTTCCAGCGGGCATGAGGAAGAGGTGGGCGAAAGGGGCGTGTCCGAAGCTCACTCATTAATCCATTCATTGGGTGACATTTGCACTCTGCAGCTCACAGTTCGTCTTAGCCTTAACTGCGCCCTCTCTCTCTCTCTCTCTCTCTCTCTCTCTCTCTCTCTCTCTCTCTCCTGGCCCCCTAAAATCCACAGCTGAGCTTGCCTCCCTCACATATGGCTTGCATATAATTATGCATATTCCATTTTGCACTGCATTAAAATGATGAGCTCCTGGCTCCCTGCCAGCTGAGTTTTAAAGGCCCCAGTGAGGTAGGAGAAAGGAGAGAAACACAGGGAGAGCCGCGCAGGAAGCAGCAGGTAGTTCTGTCTGCTGTCTCTTTAGATAAAATGTATGTCTGGCACCGAGGGAACAGCTGAGAACTACCTGTTGTGAGATATGGGGGTGGGGGCGGGGGGGGGGAGCAGAACCAGTGACACAGCAGTGACAAGGCCTGCGTAGTATCTCTCTGACAGAGTAAAATCTGACCTGACAAGTGTCACTTGGAGCTCCCCGCTCTTCTGTAGGCTGTCATTTAAAAAGGAATCCATACTCTGCACATTTAAGAATTGTATAGCTTGTATTTAATAAATGCTTCTGCTACTCTTCACGAGGGTTCTCGATGGAGCTGGGAAATGGAATGACAGGGCCAGGAGTGGTTGGTTGGCTTATAGCAAGTCCGTGTGGAAAGAGATTGCTCTGTTTGGGTTTCAGTTTTGAGATATCTTGGATGACCATCTCTGTAATGTGACACCTTTCATTATGCCGTTATCCCCCAGAAAACGAGAGCTAAATTAAGATGTGTTCTAGGATTGGCTGTATGTGACAGAGAAAGAAGTGAGCATTGTGTCCTGTGGCTACCCAGTTCCCCTGAACCAATGATGCGCCTCCCCACTGCATCGGAACTCCTCTGCAGGGACATCACAGTGCAGGCTGATGGGACTCAAAGGGGGTCCGGTTTAAACCCCAGCAGACAGGGCAGCGGTGAGTACACAGACCAAGGGCAGCTGGAAGGGGTTGAGATGCCAATGGGTGGCAGCAATATTAGCTTCTTTTTAGCAAAATAGCAAGTGACTGTGTGGCGAGCAGACCTCTGAAGGAAAGGAACCACAATTGTTTCAAGTAACGCTGCCATATCCAGTGACTCACTGATGAAAAATAACACCTACCTGGCTAGTAACTAGACCCTATCATAGACAGTTCAAGAAAATCCCACCTCAAAATACGTCTTGCTTGGTGGATTTATTATATTCCTGATGCACTGTGATACATATGCTCAGAAGCACAATTTGCATATCGTTTACAAGGGCTACTATTTACATATGTATGTCTATATTCAATATATATATGTATCTTGTGTATAAATATTCATAAGGTGGAATATGTTTATTATGCATGTACTATGTATACACATTCATACACACCAGATGCCTGGGGATATTTTCAACATAAGTGGCAAAAATACATTCATTCCACTTACATGCAAGGTGCTCACGCTACTTTTTATGTGTTTAGGGGACAAAAGTGTCCTTGTTATCTAAGTTTGGAGTGTGCTTTATAGTTTCGTATCAAGCCTTATCAGGAGGATTTGTTAAGTAGCAACAGAAGAGAATAGAGAAAACTGGGGACACTAGGAAATAAAAAAAAGCCAGAAACTGTCTTTCCGTTGATCCATTGTGTTCACCCCCAGAGCTCTCTCAGGCACTCAGGCTGACTCCAGAGTCCAAGAAATCCTATCCTCCAGGGCCACTGAGATGGACCAGCGGACAAGGCACTTATGCCTTAGCCTGGAGACCTGATTCAATCCCTGGCACCCACATGGTGGACTGACCTGCACACATGTACTATGGCAAGGCACCAGCACATGTGTGTGCACACATGCAAATAAATAAGTGATATGAAAAAGAAAAGAAAAGAAATAATCCCACTGCTTCACCGTGTCCTGGGTTTCCACCTATGGCGTAGGATACCAAGCAGAGTCCAAGGAATCTAGAGCCATCACCCTTACATCCGTTTGCATGCGTGCACTGACACACACCTCTCACCAGTGACCCACTTGCATTATGAAATCTTAAAATGAAATTTTAAATTATTCCTAAATGGAATAAAGTACATTCAGCTAGTCAGTAACCCTCTACCCTGGTTTCATATTAGAACCATCTTGGGTGAGTTGCTTCCTGTTGGTTTGCTAACAAATTGGTTCCTATTTCTTATCTTCTACTTTCCACAAATCTAATTTAATTGGTCCAGTGTAGAGTTCAGAGTGTAGTTTGTGTGTGTGTGTGTGTGTGTGTGTGTGTGTGTGAATTCATAAAAACAAAACCAAATAATAAGAAGCTCTCAGATGTCAGCAATGTACAAGTAGAGCCAAGAACTGCTGGGCTAAGGAGGGCATCTCCAGGCATCGAAGGGACACTGAGCCACTATGTAATGCTTGGCAGATGTGGTCCCTGAGATGAGTCTTACTCTAAAGGGTGAGGGTTGAGAGGTCAGGGGCCTAGCTGCCACGTCAGCAAAGCCTCATATTTGTCTATGTTTGTCTCTTAGTTTCTAACGAACAAATAGACTTGGAGAGCTTTTATTTAACTTCCTGGTGATTGCCTTCTTCCACCTCTCCAACCAAGTCTCTTAACTTGACTTCCTTCCATATCCCCAACAAGGGTGAAATTTTGTAGAGGGCAAGGCAGGGTTGGGTCTTCCATCACTAACTTCAACCATTGTCTGGTAAACACCCTCCAAAAATGCCCCTTCTTGCCGTTCCCTGGCATCTTGTGGGCAACGTCAGGTAGACTCCATGCAGCTCTACCAAACTTACGTGTAGATCCATTTTAAGGCATTTTAGGATCTCCTATATTGCTTCCTGTGCCTTATTCTATAACTGCTCAGTTTGGGGTACCAGATAATGAGCTAATGGTGGGGGTGCAGACAGAGGGAGCCAACTGCCCCTGCAGAAGAGGATGTGGACACTGACGTTATAAATAACACAGAGCAGACGGACTTGCAGCCAGTTTTATTATTGTTTGTACGTTCTCGACAAACAATAGACATCTATCCGGCTGCCAGGAGTAGACCACCCTACTGATGGCTCTTGGCACCCACTGGCCTGGAAGACACTGGGAACGTCTGACTTTGGTCTGGAGTGACAGTTCTGAAATGAAGGAATGTCGTCAAGATCCTAGATGATGGGCTAACTCACTCCATGTGTCTTCTTCCCAACAATTGAATTCGGACTAATGTGCTAGACACTTGTGCTACTACAGGGAAATGTAAGTGGGAGGCCATTGAGTTGTATTTCACTACAAATGTGTAATAATAAATGTGGCTGCCGGGCCAAAGGTACATTTCTGACGTAATGCTCTAAGAAAGCTTCTCATTTTGCTATGATAGAAACCAAAGTAAAAAAAAAAAAATCTTCACTAAAACTGTAAGATTTGTACATAGGCTTGTGCTTTAAAAAGATTTGTTTTGGTTTTTAATGTATCTTTACACGTGAACACACGGGCACATTCTCACGGTGAGGGAAGGAAGCTGCCTGCAGAGTCTAGAGGCCCCAGACGTCCCTGAAGCTGGTGTTAGAAGCAGCTGTGAATGCCCCCACACACAATCACACACACACACACACAACCACACACACACACACACACAAACATATAATCTCACACACACACACACACACAAACACCTGGAGTTAGAAGCAGTTGTGAGCTTCTCCCCCCATTCACACACACACACACACACACACACACACACACACACACACACCTGGGGTTTGAAGCAGCTGTGAGCTACATCCACCACCCCCTCACACACAATCTCTCTCTCCCTCTCTCTCTCTCTCTCTCTCTCTCTCACACACACACACACACACACCACACACCTGGAGTTAGAAGCAGCTGGGAACTCCACCCCCCCACCCCCAGATGCTGGGAAAAAAACTATGTCGTCTGCAAGAGCAGTGTGTCCTCTTAACTGCTGAGCCATCTCCCAGCCCTGTTCGCTTTCTGAAATAAGGTTTTGCTATGTAGCGCACGCTGGCTTCAAGCTCAAGATCCTCTTGCCTCAGCCTTCCAAGTGCTGGGATTACAGGTGTGTACCAGCATGCTTAGCCTCGCACAACTAGTTTCCATGTTGTGCCCAGTGTTGAACTAAACCCTAGGTGAGGAAACGCTAGTTAATGACATGACTCTCTACTCCAAACTTCTCTATGAATCACTACCTGTTTCATTTTGAATTTCCTCCGT